TTTTTWAWWAAMCMWWAAAAWYMARRAAWTYMWTWAAAAAAAAATAATGRTGAAATATTCTATAAAATGATTAAAAGCTTAAACTTTTAGGTTCATCTGTGATTTARTCATATTTCGATGATATSAAAGCAGATGTCTTGTATTCAAATTCATGTATTGTCATTTTTACATTTAATATTATATCTATATATGATTAAATTTACTCMTGCCCAATAATATATACATTATTGAATATACTACAYAGCGAAAATTATAAAGAAGACGGTGGTTTGTAACATAAACATTTTACCTTTTTTAAATAAGGTCAAACATCTTATTATCAATATTAGTATCATGTTTTTTTCCTTAAACAACTATTTGTCGGTGTTAATGATACTTTATTGATTTTTTAAAAAAAAAATATTTCGTTGATTGCTTTATGGGACAATAGAAACGTCTATAYATCTCTTATGTCGAGGTAAAATCTATTGACACATGAGAATATCTATGAAAATATCAAGATGAGGCATTTTCAGCTTTTAGAGTCTCTTGAGGGCCCTGCCAACGTCTATWGACTCGCTAGCGTTACTACGAGCCGCCACATCTCAATTCAGGAATTTTAACCTGGTTCATTTTCAAAACTTGTACGGTCCACGTTATCAAACGAACCCAACTCAACCTATGTACAAGTACCGTACAAGCATCATTCACATACATSAATGAAAATTTAGTAACTAACTACACCACAAGATTCTATTGTTGACCATATAATATGCATATAAGTACCACGAAATTGATGGCCATGGAGTCAAACCCCTTGAACCCAGTACCAATTCAAACTCCCTCTTCAACACGTAACCATTAACCCCACTTCCCCTTCCACCTATAAATTCTCTGCACTTCTTCAATCTCTCTCAGACATTTCATCAAACACCTTCTCTTCATTCATTCACCTACAAATTCCTGTCTCAAGACATATCGTCGAACACCTTACCTTCATTCCAGATCCGACCGCGACAGACAGGCTTCGGTCCTCCAATATGAATTTCGGGAAATTGGGTGTGGTTCTGATGATCCTCGTCGTGTCGGTGGCGCTGCTGAGCAACAGCGCCGCCGTGGACGCMGCCAGAGTGGTGGCCGGAGACTTCGCGAGCGCCAATCACTTGGAGATGTACCCATCGGTGTACGAGAAGGTGAAGCATACGGCGTCGTGTTGGCTCGGGCGATTGTCGTCTGGTCCAAGCCCCAAAGGTCCCGGCCACTGATGACCGATTCCTCCACCGCCAGCGATACCATGCCTTYGCTAATGGAAGAAACTCATTTTTCTCTCTGTTTTTTTTTTCCTCATCTTCTTTAATTCTTTCATGTATTTGTTTTTTTAATTATGGATCTAATTCATTTGTGATGTAGTGGTATAAAGAAAAAAGAAACTGAAATATCATACATAATAAATGTGAAATAGATTTTATTATTTGCTATGTGCTTATTTCTTATTTATTTSAAGTTTAAATTTTATTTTGAGTTTAATACTCGTGGGGTGAATATTCGAACTTCCAAATGACCCTTGATATCGTGTACTGGAAGTCTTCTTTTTAGGAGCTATCTTTCTCGCATGAAGACAACCGGAAGGCAGATCGATTGGCTAAAGAAGCTACTATTTTCTTAAGTGACTTATTTATGAAATTAAAGGAACTCAAAATTCAGAGATTCAATGGTAGCGGCTTTTGTTTTTTAATGAATTGTTTTTTTATCTAGAGTTATTCGAGGATATATGTTTTTAATTAGTTGGGTTATGTTCAGWTTAGTTGCTAGTTAAATAATTGAATTAGTCAATGATTCAATATGTTAATAACTTCTTTTAAAAAACATCTATTACCATTTC